CAGTGTGTGTGCACATGCCCACAACCATAATACAATGCATATGTGATCCCCCATGTTCCCTGGCCCTCTGCACATGTCTGTGCTACCCCCTGCGCTCCCGCTGCCCCCTCACACATGCGACCCTACCCCACACTCCGTTTTGGGCCTAGAAGGCCTCCCTTAAGTCTCCTCGGACCAAAAGCGTGGCGTGGTGGATGCCATAGCCCCCCACTGCCTGTTTTGGGCCTAGCAGGCTTCTCTGCTACCCCCCACGCTCCCCCTTGCATGTGTGTGCAACCACACACACACCTTCGTATACACGTGCATCTACAGCATGCACAGGAGACCCAAAAATGAGCTGGCTGGCGGGAGGCATGCAGGTGCACATGCGCAGTGGAGCTGAGCTGGGGTGACGGCAGAGAGGCCTATGTGTGCCATGCATGCCATAGGTTCGCCATCATGGGTTTAGTGCTTCACCTAAAACCAAATTCTGGCTTGGTTAAAATCAAGATGTTTGGGTTTTGTTTTATTTTTACTCTCATCCTGTCAGTTACCCATCCTTAACTTAGGGAAAATTGGTTAACTCAAGAAGTGATCAGACCTTGTAGCTAGTAGTATCTTTTTTTCTTCTCTTGCAGAAACTATCTACTGGACGCAGAGATGAATATGATTCTCTGGCAGTAAAAAAACCAGATTCAGATCTTGAAATGGCTGTGGATAAGCAGGTATCTTCACCATCTTTTCTATGCAGGCAGTTGCCACAAAACATATATAAGCATAGCTTAGTGGAGGAAACCCCAAGACTAGGACCCCCTTGTACTTTGAGAAATGAATATCAATCTACAATTGACTTCTCTGACAGTTATGGCAGAGTTATGCAAGGGATTTTGATGTAACTGCTCTGTCAGCTCACCTATCACGCCTTCTCTTACTTCTTCAGACTTGGGTATATATAAGAATGATTGGGATAATTTTTCTTTCTTTCTAGCGCAGAAGAAAGAAACCTCAGGACAAAGTTTACACTGTGAGTAGATCCAAGAATTGACTTATTATAGTTTACTTAATTATCTACTAAGGATATATGTGTCTGTGTTTGGACAGAAATTGTCTTCATTTGCAACTTTTTCCAGAGTTTTATGAATAAGGTTTTGGAAAAAAATATTCTCTATGCTGGGATGTAACACAACTACTTCTTCACGCGATGCAGAAAGGAATAGAAGTATATAAAAATCAACCAGTCTATTTTTTTGTGTTTATGAGTCTCAAGATACTCAAGATTTTCCCATTTTGCCTTTCTTTTCCTGTAACAGAAAACTGTCAGGTTTTAAGCTTCTGTTATTAGCGCTTATATCAATACAACAGAATTCCAGGGCTTTTTTCTGGATTGCTTTTTTACCTGACTTACCTGAAAGGGCTAACAATGACAGCAGGAACAGCCCCACAGTGTTGATAGTCATCCTTCTGTGGACTTTTGGGAGATGTTTATCAGAGTACTGATCAGTTTTGTGTGTGGATATTTTGCTTTCTGCATCAGAGGAACCTAACTTCTATGTTGTAAATCAAACTATTGAGCATTTACAGGAAATCTGAGCTTCCTCTATTCCAACAAATCCTGTGTTTATAGTTTAACCAAGTCCCAGGTTGGAGAAAAGATTGGAAATGGTTGCTTTCCAGATAGCATTGCTTTCAAATCTGCATAAATAGTGCCTGAGTTTATAGTGGTTGACAAAGAAAAAGCAATGAAGAGTAAGTGTTTTGCTAGCATAATAATCATAAGCACTTACATCTTTGGAAATCTTTTTCTTACAATTTGGCCTAGAAAGAGTAAGGATATACTGGCCAAAATGAAAAGATTAATCAAATACATCCGAATGTGTAAGAGAAGGAACTAGAGAAAACAGATTTTTCTTAATTTCCTTTTCACCAATACTGTTTTATTGTTTTCCATGGCTAGTCCCTACAGCGGGATAAGATGGGTGAAGCATATAGTGAAATTGGAAAGAAAGGAGAGGTAAGTGATATTTTCTATTATTTTAGATGCACAAAAGGTAGCTGCATCCACAAATTTGTCACTGTTGACTCTAGGCAGGGTTGCACTTTTCTAGACTGAGTGGGTACTTTAAGGTTTACCCTTTGTTACATGAGTTGCACTGGCTCCCTGTTTCTTCCAGGTGCTGGTTGTTACCTTTAATGTCTTACATGCCATGAGCCGGCCTGTCCCTGAAGATTTCTGCCCATCAGATAGGAAGATACCTCAGGTCCCTTCCTTGAATTGTTGCCATCTAGTGGGATCTCTGAAGTGTGTCTTTTCTGGCAGGCCCCTTCTCTTTTAGCCTTCTGAAAGACCATCAATACATGGCTTTCCACCTAGTCATTGAGGTAGAGTGTAGTTGCTCTGAATTGGTTGCCGGAGTATTCCAAGAAGATGAGTGAGGTGCTGGGTTTTGATTGTTTGAATTTGTGTTTTATGGTTTTTGTAATTTAGGGTTTTATTGTTGTGAGTCAGCCAGAATTGTGTTTTAAAATGAGCATCTATACAACTCTTATACATGCATTTCTACTCGAGCTTTCTCAGTCCTATCCTTTAAGCCAGTGGTCCCCAAACTTCCTGGCTCTGCGGACCAGTGGTGGAGGGGAAGAGGGAACGGTTTTGTGCATGCCATTTGTGCAAATGCACTTTCATGTGCTCACACTTGCACAGCCCAATTCCCAAAAGGCCATGGTCGGGTACTGGGCCATGTATCAGGGGTTGGGGCTTCCTACTTTAAGCTGCATTGAACCCCAATTCCATAATGCAGAATAATGATAGTATTAATTCAATATAGCTGAAAGCACCAACTAGGCAGAAGCTCTCTTATCAACATAAAGTTATCTAGAATAGTTGAACAAAACAGAAGACAAATTTGTTCTCTGAATAAAATTTTTCGATAGCATCTATGTCAATTGGGTTAAATTGTGGGGTAGCCCACAACTTATGACTGCAATTGGGGCTGTACCCGCACAACTATTTTTATTGTTCATGTCCATAATACAAGAATCTTATTAGATTAGACTGGTGGTTTGCACCTGGACTAGACTAGATAAGGTTTAACAACATTCAAAGGGGAAGGATTGGACCGTGCTCTCCTGTGCCTATGTAGAGATTCCTGACTAAATAACCGCTTGACTCCTCTTTTGATTAATCCTAGCTTTTTCTTTTTCTAGAAACTTGGTGGCAAAGGCAATGATATTCTTTATCAGGTAAGATAACAGCAGAACCCTTCCCTGTAATTTCTTTAATTCTTAATTCACTGAAGAGATCTGCCTAAAGCAATTTATCCACTGTTCTTATCTCCCCTTCATTCTCTAAGTACTTTCGGTCCTATTGCCAGCCTATGCTTGCAAGGAAGTTGGACAGGGCAACATGGTTAAGAAGTAGTTGAATTCCTCTTCTTATAAATGTTGTTTTAGTACTCTGGCTATAGGCATCTGAATCTATGGTTAATAAAGTCTAATTATTTGTTTTCTAATCATATCTTTTCTCTTTATCAGGGGCTCAGTCAAGCAACGAAGGACACATACAATGTCCTTCAAATGAAGCAGTTGCATTCTCCTCGTTAGTTACAACTGAACCTAAAAAGGAAGAAGAAAAAGAACATCCCTTATGGTGGAATGGTAGCAATTAAAGAGGACAGTTCATTTCAGCAAATCCATTGCCTTGTTTGAATAATGCTTTTGTACAGTCAGCAAAACCATTTCATTTCCAAATAACATCCTAGGTTTTTTTTAATGTACATAAGTTTAAAGATTCTGCTTAATGTATAGTTGCTCATATTTAGGAGCAGAAGTTGTGATTGCTATTTTATTGGATAGTTAAATAACAAAAATATTTTCCTTCCTTAGATGAAAGGCAAAATATTTTCTTTTTCTATAGATGTTTTTAATTGAAGATAGCTGGGGAACTATTGGGGTGGGGTGGGGGGAGAATATACTCTGTAACCTTTCATCACTTTCCAGGAATTTGGATTACTGTACAATCTATCAATCATATCAGCAGGGCTGGTGATAAAGGAATGCAAAAATAGTCATTTTTTAAAATTGATTACTCTCAAATCATTAAATAGTTCAGTACTTAACTGAAGGTAGATATCTTTTATATTGAAGATTAGAATAAAAAAGAAATTTGTTCAGATGGTACTTTGAATTTCAGTGTATGAGAAAACTGAAAGTTCTGTTCACAAGCTTGGATAATTTCCTCACAAAATGTAATTTTCTTTAGCATCAAAAAGCTAACAGCTGTTACTATTTGATTTGAATGATGCTTGTAAGCAAAATACAAAACACCCTCAAAAAAACAAAAAAACTGGACACAGAAATATGAGTATATTTAATAAAGCAACCAAAACTAGTTTTGGTTTAGAATTACTTCATCAAAGAACAAAAGTCTTACTTTTGAATAGTATTCATAACAATAGTCTTGTGCTATGAAGAAGTAAACAAGTACAGCTTATGCCTGTTTTTGCATGATTAAAATAATGGTTAAGTATATTGTCTGTTGCTTCATTATGTATATTATTCCTAATGACTGTATCTCATACTTCAACACATATTAACTGCAGTGAATACAAAAGCTTACAACTTGACCAGAATCCATTAACGAGCTTTCTTTTGATTAGTACTGATCAGATTTTAAGAAGTCTAATATAACTGTGAAGGCTGCAAGGAAGAAAAACAGGGAATGTGCATGGGAGATTGCACCTTTTCATCATCTCCAGCTAAGCGCCTGCCTACCTTTGGAGTTGTGGGTATAAATTGAATGTGGAGATAGGCTTTTCCCTTTACAGTATAGAGTAATGTAGTTGAACTGCAAAATATGGACCATTGAAAGCCACAGATACAAAAAAAACCCCAAACCTCTTCCTGCCATCTAATGGTTGATCAGCTGCAATATTTAGGATAATCAATAACTGGTATATGATATTTAGCACAGCACTTAGATTTATATACCACTTCACAGTGCTTTACAGCCCTCTCTAAGCAGTTTAGAGAGTCAGCATATTGCCCCCAACAATCTAGTTCCTCATTTCACCCACTTCGGAAGGATGAAAGGCTGAGTCAGCCTTGACTGGTGAGATTCGGTCTACCAAACTGCTGGCAGCCGGTGATCAACAGAAGTAGCCTGCAGTACTGCACGCTAACCCCTGCGCTCTTACTATTATATATTCCTAACAAAATGTAGATGATTTAGCAACAATGCTGGCTACCAGATGTAGACTGCAAAAACAGATGGCTAGATGGCAGGAAAGAGCTCGGAGAAAGCTAACTATTGGTCAAACCTACAACATTCTACTGTACATTTAATGCTTCTTTCTCCCCTCTGTAGAATACTATGCATTACCTGAGCTTACCTTTTTTTCTGGGCAGGTGAGTGTATTTCCAAATAAAACACTGGTATGCAGTAGCTAGTCATTACTTCTACTTTTAAAGGTTTATAGAATGCATATAGGCTTTAAGTAATTGTAGAAAATAAAGATGCTGCAGACTGATATTATGCAGCATGTCCTTGTTAAAAAATTAACATAATTTTTGAATGGTTAAATAAGTAAAATGGAATAGGAACTTTAGGGAATACGAAAGATGAAGTCATTAAATCCCTCAGAACTACAGTGGGCCACCAGCTTTAAAACAGGAATGCTTACACAGACATTACATCGTGTCCAATATAGCTCCCAAATAAAACAAAGTTTTTATTAAAGACACAGACCAGAATAACATTACAATAGTAAAATAAAAAATAAAACTGGATTACACATCAATAAGAGAGTTTGAGTAAAATTAGGTGCAATGAGGACTGGGAGAAAATCCACCACAAGGTTTCAAATTCTCTGGAATATCTTCTTTGTGTTTACCTGCCTCATTTCCCCCCCTCCCCCTAGGATTTGAGTCTCTTGAATTTGTCTCTATATCATGTACAGAAAATACAACAAACTTTAAAAAGATGCTTGTTAAAAGAGGCAATAAGTCCAGAAAAACCTAACTGAAAGTAAGCAAAGAACTCATACTTGAGAATTCTTGTTGTTTATTTATTTGTATGCCGCCCTTTTCCCTGGGGGGACTTCTTCCATCCATTCTTCCCCGTAATCATACTCTGGACTGGTATGTATTCCACTCACTATTAGTTGGAACTGAGATTTCTAGTCAACAAATTGGGAGTTGGCAGCTTGAATTCTGATCACAGCAGTTTTTATATTTACTTATCCAATGTTAGGCTAGTATGTATATTATCAAGTTCAAAAGACTCAGGGATATGGCAAATTCTAAACTGTACTGGACATGTAGAGGGCATCACTTAAGTTCAAAGAGTTTGGAAATACTATGTTAGTATCTCTTGTATAGGCTAGCGGTGTTTATTCAATCCATCTAATGCTGTATCAGAAATTCTATACCAGACAGTATAATGTATCTAATAACATTTTAAAAAGCACATAACACAAATACTTCTCTATAAGGAAATCAGATCATATATGATAATATTTGAAATAATCTTGAAAAAATAACTGTCAGCTTGATGTCCAGTGTTTAAAAACCTAAAAGGCAACAATTCTAAAAAGTTAAATGATAATATTAAAGATTAGTTATTATGATTGCACAAATAGGAGCACATCTGAATTAATATACAATACAAATTTTAAAACTGCCCCTAATCTCTTTTTTTATTATGCACAACTGCATATATGGGTACATAGATACAAAATGTATCTTCATCCTCTTACCTATCAGTAGCTTACTCTGCCTTGACGTCCTTTGATAATGAATTAGCTGTTGTTAAAGGTTAGGAAAGACAGGAATTGCAGTCCAGAATATTTAGAGGGTATTAGGTTGAAAAAGGCTCCTTTGAATAGTGAAAAAAAAACTGAGTTTTATATACATTCAGTTCAGAGTTGAAAACCACTGTAAAACATAACCAGTCACCAAATTATCAGGAATAGTGTGTATGATTTTAGATTATAATACAGATGAAAGAAAAGCCTACCTGTTCTTGCACTTTGCTGAGAAAACAAATAACTGTTGGTATAAAGTAAGGTCAGTTTAAGATAGTAGAAAACTTAGATGCTGGCATTTCGTTTTGTGTCTAGTATTTTTTTAAAAATCACAAACACGCACATGGATGTTAAAACACTTGGAAAAATGGTTTAATGAAGTTTACAACAGAAATGAACTGTACAGTTACAGTAAGTCTCATATATATAAAAATTACAGCAGACAAATGCATCTACACAAAACCTACCATTTTCATCCTGATTCACTGTAATCTACAGTTTCTCAATGCCCACAGCTGCCTGCAGGCAGCCACTAGGGGAAAAACAGAAGATATCTTTAAAGAGACAGCATTATTTTGCGCTCCCTCGGGATATGGGTCTCAAAGTGAGCATAAGCGAGAATGAACGTTGTAGGATATGTAAACCACTCTTTTATGTTGCATACATTCCAAATTAAATTACACAAATGATCATGAAAAGAAGAATCAATGAAAAAAAAATCTGTTCATCAATGTAAATGAAGCTGTGCAGTCCACAAAAGATTACATACCAGGTTTTGCAAAAGAAAAGGCAATAAACCTTTTTCTAATCAATGTTTCCACTGTCTTATGGCAACATAATTCTCTTTTAACAAACAGAAAAAAGTTAGGACATCAGAACCATTCATAGGGCTTTATCTGTTTTCTTATCTGACCTTTGGATATGAATGGACGATGCCTTTTGAGTAGGGCAAGGGTTCAATTTCACCCATAGAAGCATGCTGTCTCTTTAAAAAAAACAACTCTCTGTTCAGAATGGCAATAAGAGAAAATGCAATCTAAATTGACAATCTGATGGAAATTACAGATTATGTACATTTTTCCTCAATTATGAACACCTAGGCAGTGAAAACTATTGTGTTAATACGTACATAGACACACTCAAAACATACAAAAATACTATTATTTCAAACTACTAAGAATAAGACAATCAATTATCTCCATGCTATGACTTTTAAGAGCATTACACAGAAACAAACAAGGATTTAAACACATTTTTAATATCCCAGAAATATAGCAAAATATACATCTAAGCTTTGGAATTACTGAGGTTAGACTAATGCAAGTGCTGGGTAATTGTACTTAATACACAAGTCTAAAGTTCTGCAGGAAAGAAATTATCTTTGGTATCTGCATCAGGCTAATATTATTAACATTTGGATTTTGCTTTGGGATAGAGCTTGTATGACCCTAGAACCAAACACCCCTACTCAACTGAGATTTAAAAGATTTGTGTAAAAAGTTCCTTCGCTGGCAACCCCCCTCCCCCAAAGTTTAAAAAGTCATAGGCATCTACCTAGCAAAAATGTTGAGAAATACAATGCATAGTTGCACAGTGGTGCTGCAAAAATAATGAACAAGTAACAAAAAGGAAAAAGCAGAAAATAAGAAAAAAAATTCAGATATTTCTCACAATAGGACAGCCTCTTCCAAGCAGTGGCAGGGGGGAAGCTCAGAAGTGCACTCTAGCATGTATTAATCAATTTATCACCCAGCTCACAAAGGGTTAAAAGTACCCATCAGAGCAGCCAATCATGCACCAAGGTCTTCAGCTTCACAACCAATATATAAAGCTCCATCAAATTTCCCCAAGCTTTTCTCTATGCCCCTTGGATTTGTAATCTTGTAAGAGTACTTTGCATCCCAAACGGAGTGGGAGAAAAGCGACCTTGCTGACCAAATCCACCTTACCTTAGATCAAGCCATCCATTGCATCTTGGACTGGAAGGCAAAAACCACTTTGGGGTTCATCTCTTCCACACCCAGAAAAGATGGCTTCCCGGATTTGATTGGTGCTGAAGATGCCCTTTGTCTTTGGTTTGTTTGTTTGTTTTGAGTTTATACAATCATTAGGAAATCTTTGGTTTTGGCTGGAATTTTTTTAAAAGAACAAAACAAAACAAAGAAACCGCTCCCCTCAGCATATAGCAGGGCACCGTGACCTGGCAAAGCTTCCCTTTCTAAAGGGGTAGGTAAAAGTACATTCAAACTAAAATGGTAGAAAGAGTATGGATGCAGCTTCTGGTTAACCCAGAGGGAAGAGGTGGCAAATGAACAAGATTGTCAAATAATAAAAGAACATGTTTTAGAAAAGGAGTGACACACAAAGACAACAGGTTAAAAGATAGAAAGTGGTATGTATGCAGACAATTTGGCCCTGGCTTGATCCTGGAAAACAAGAGCCCTGACATCTCGCCAGGAGGTGGCAGAAGGCAGCATACAGATTTCATGCACAGGCTGGGAAGAGATGGGTATTCAAAGGCTACAAGATGACCCCCGGTAACCAAAACAAATAAAAGATTGCAATTTGCCCTCAGTTTGCAGTAGCTTTTAAGCAGCAACATTCAGAGGCTTTCGGGGATCTGTCCCCAGGTTACAGGTCACGGTTTGCTATAGGCCAGAGTTCAATGCTAAT